CCGCACATCCATCCCGCTTTTCTTTCGCGTCGATCACTTCGGGCGCCCATTGTCACACAGCCAGCGACAGAGTCATGAAAGGAACCTGTGGCTTTGTTGGCGGTGCTGTTGCTGTAGCAAGTCGATATCTGGGGGATCTAAATTGAGTTTTAGCGGTGCATGTGACGCCACAGTCGATGCATAGTCGTAATTTGCATATAGAAGGAAAGCCGGGCAGGAGATGGGGCCGGGGCTGGGTCAGGATGGGAACCACCGCAGCGCTTGCTATGTTTGCTGTTCTCTCTCTTTGTTTTGTTTTTTGGTTTTTGTGTTCGGTTTGCCATGTGATCGCTCTTTGTGCGAGTAGGTGCCACACGATGAACGAAGCATAGGAGGGTGTGTACGAGTACGAGCTGAAGGCAGGACTGGAGCAGGCAGTGCCAGACAATGGGCGACTTTTCAACGGAGTTGTCTAGGCAGCATATGGGGCCAAAAGATTGAAACATTAGCAGATTTAAGCTACAAGATAAGCTCCGCTATTTGCGCGTGCCTGTGTGTGTTTGGGGCGCCTTAAGCCCTCCTTCCCTCCTTCATCCCTTGGTTAAGCAAGATATTGGCCTAATCGACATTATCGCATTCTTTTTGCAGTGCCACGACCCAAGGGACAGCACTCGGCGCCACGGGGCGGACCACCTCGTTCCTGGACCAACACAGAGCTAACGGAGGCTCTTCAGCACGTGTGGAACAAGAAGATGACCACTTCGCAGGCCTCCCGCATCTTTGGCATACCGTACAACTCCCTGCTGATGTATGTGCGGGGCAAGTACGGAAAGAGCTTGAAGCTAGAGCAGCTCCGCAAGGATTGCATCAGCGGGCCACCCATTGAGATGCTCCAGATGGGAATCAGTGGAGGCAACGGAGGAGGCGGCAGCTCTAGCAAGAGCGATAAGAGCAAGGACCGCAAGGAAAAAGACAAGGAGAAGGGTTCGGCGAGTAACAATACCTCGGGCAGTTCGGGCAATGGGAATGGACCCCACTGCGGCTCGGCCAGTGGAAACGGTCCCCCAATGCCGCATCCCAGTGACCTCGGTTCCTTGGGGCCACTCGACTTGGAGCTGGGACTGCCACTGGGTCCTCCGGGCGGGCCCCGAAGTGGCAGCTCGGAGCCCGATCTGTTAGGCGGACCCAATGCCCTCTTCAATCCCTTCAATCCGCAAGGATTTTACCCCGACTTTTCCGGCGGTTTCCCGGGACTGCCCCTGAGCATGTTGAATCTTCTGCCTCCGGCAGAGCGACATCATGCAGCGGCTGCCATGCACCATCTGGGAGTGACAATGGATGAGGACTGCAAGTCGGTGGGCTCCAAGCAGTCCTCCTCCATGGACGACGACTTTGCGGGGCAAGGGATGCCCCTCTCATTGGAGCAACGGCGGGAGATGGCCGCCACGGGACCCCCTTTGACGCAACTGAATGGCGGGGCAGGGCAGGATTGAAACATGTGGCGGGATTGGGCAACTGGGGCTGCCAATCCAATATACTTCCCGCCCTTTGAGCTCGACCAGGAGCAGAATCCGGCAGGCCCAGGTCATCCAGCGACCGCTCATCATCCGCGATCCGCCATGCACCACATGGACTGTCGCGAGCTCAGCTTTAAGCCCGGCCCCCTCTTCATGGCCAGGCGAAAACTGAAGCGCTATCGGGCCAAGCGCCAGCTGCAGCTACAGACCCAGATGCAGGGCTCCCAACCGCATCCACATCCGCCACCGACTGCGACATGTCCTGCCGCCCAAGCGCTGCCACCGCTGCGGACTTGAAAACTGTGAACAGAATCGAAATGCAATATGTGTATTCTTAACCCAATATTTAGTTTTGTTTGTAGCCCTAAAGACAGTATATGATTTACGAGGATTCTATTTTTATTTGGTTTGAGCAAAGGATAAGATTTGCTGGTGCTTTTAGTTCCTATTCCCGACACCCGATTACCTATTACCAACACCCTACTCCCGATTGTATGATAATGTATTTATTGATGATATTATTTCGAGATTTGCGATTAATTTCAAGTTAAGTAATCGAATACGACAAAGCTTACAAAGCATTTGAGGCAATACAATTACACAATATCTGCTGAATATTGTACTATTATTATTATTATGTTTTTATTTAAGTATTAAACGGAATATAATCAAAAATGCAAGCGAGGTTTAAGAGAGTATTGTAAATATGCAGAGGTAACCAAACAAACCAACAGAACAGCATTAGATGGACTCCAGGGGGCTGTGGACCATCCGCAGATGCATTCCACAGCTACCATCTGCTGCCACAGCCCTCTCAGTTCTCAAACGTAGAATGTAATGCAACGTTTGCAATTAGTAGTATTGATAATATCGATGTATCGATACCCGATGACCGATGACCGATGACTGTACCAAAATTTTTAATGTTATTTTATAAAACAAAAGAAAGCGAAAATTAGTTGTAGTCCTAAGTGTTCTAGTAGGCAATTTATATTTGTATAGCAGGCATTTGCACATCGTCCCATAGTTGTGCACACCCCATCCCCCTCATTCTTCCGCCGCACCGTCTCCCTCCAACCCTATACAATGGCATATGCACTCAAATATGTAAGTACATATTTATGAATTAGTAGACGCCGCTCTGTAAATCGAAGGCATCCATTCCCCGCACAAATCTATCCGTTTTGTAATCTAATTTATAAAGAAATCAATCAACAATCACCCGATCATCCGATCGACTCATTACCCGCGCATAGTGTTAATAATTTATAAGCTCAAGAACACACACATAAAATATTTTAATATTAAATATGATAACACACAAGAACGTAAATATTTAAGTAAACAGAAAATTAAATTGTATGCATTACAATAAATAGTAAAAGTTATTAAATAAAAAGTTAAATGAGAGTTTTCTTTGAACCTGCGTCTATCTTTTGTCTATCGTATACCACCAGTATCCGAAGGATACTTCGGATATGTTCAGAGAGCCGTACAAAAAAAACATCCGACAAGTAGATTGACAAATAAATCATGTTGGAGGATATTAAAGTTCTGACAAAAAAATGATCGTTGCAGAGTTATTGAGAGAGGGGAGGAAAGGAACTGCTCTATTGGTCCAACTTCTCATAATCAAAGATTGACGTGGATGTCAAAGTTCTTCTTATTCAATTTTTTATTTTTTTTATATTAAATTTTTTACATTTATTGGATTTTCCTTGAGTTTCCGTGGCGCCACTGATGACGACAGTTAACAGAAATCTAAATATAAATTATACATGATTTCTACATATCTTGAACTCTACACGGCCGCAAACGTAAAATTCCATACACAGGTGGCGGTGTTGAGGAATGAGTTCAGTTCTATAGCATTCACCTTTTATCTGTGATATATTGGCGCGCAGCTCCGAATTTCAAATATGTCTTTCACAGTTGCACAAATTCATACTGTGGAAAAAGGAGCAAGTAAACAATCAAAATCTATTAACAACGAATGCATGACTCAGTTCAGGGCCACATACTGTATTTCCGCTTACAGTCGCGTCAGGAGAGAGAAGAAATCGTGCAAATTCAAATTTCATCAATTTCAGATCACACATTTGGCGCTATGTCCTACCGCACTTAAATCGTTGTATGGCCTTTGAACATTGAACTCGTAGTTCATCAGCACCCGTGCCGCTTCCGCCACCCACCAAACCGCATCTTCATCATCCACGGCACAATTTGTCAATATGAATGCAACCGACCAACACAAAGCAAGCGACGGGGGCAAGGCCAATAATCCAAGCTCCGATGCACTGACAACTGACCTTATTGCAAAATGGAAAACCAACAGAAAATGGGACATACAACCTGCCCTGCCCATCCAAAGGATGAAATCCAATCTGGTGGTGCCACACTGCACAATAGGAGGAGTAGGCAAATTTTCATTAGTCTGCTTCGACTGCGGAAGTCCAATCGATGTCCACTCGAGTTTCAACGAAATTATGCTTCAAATTGCAACCCCTGAACTGCGGATAGTTACCTATGCGTCCGAGTCTGGTCGCAACTTTATCTCAACGTTTGCATGCAAATGCTCAGTCATTTAGCCTCTGCTACCCGCGCTGCGCTGTTTGAAGATTTCGATAATGGCCTCATTGGCAGAGACTAAGACTGTCTACACGTGCAGGTCTTAGTTTGTTTACCTGAGAAGGCGACCCGAACTTGTCAACTACACGAATGAATGGCTTGCAAGGGCTTGCAATACACAACCGATGTGGTTAGTGAAATCAATGCATCCTACTGCACCGTACAGCTTTTTGCATATCTGTATTTCTGGTCTCACCCCCACCCAAGACAAGGAACATGTGCATCAGCGCTGAGGCTCAGATCTAAAAATACTAAGCTAAGCCTAGGGTGAATATGTTCCACAGAGCACAGACATCTTGTCACACAGCTGGAGGTAGCCCAAGAGTCCGCGCTCCGTCCCGCTCTCTCTGTCTGTTTCTCCCTCACTCTCTCTCTCTCTCACACTCTCTCTCTCTCATTCTCTTTTTCTCGCTTTCTGTGTGTTGGCGCGTGCGTTATTTCAAATTCAAGTTTAACGACTCGGCGCGGCTGCTCTCACTTTGCGTTCTGTTGCCGTTCGAGTCAGTTGGGGTTTTTCGTATCTGTTGGATACCATTTCATTGTTGGCTGGCGCCCGTGCCAGCTCGCTCAGCGCTGCGCGTTTCTGTGAATCTGTATCTGAGTGTCTCGGCCAGATAATTTGTTTAGTGAATGAAAAATAGTAGTTGGGCTGACTAGCATGCACTTTGGCTGAGTGAAATATCTAAAGCCAACTGCCGAGCACGCCAAAGTATCTCGCAGATACGCTGACAACACCAATGCAATACAAAATACAAAAATACAATAAAATAAAATATTCCACGCTCGTACGCTCCTCAACCAGAAATAATAATAGATAGGAAAAAACAACAACAATATTACGAAAATGCGCCAAGAAAATTAAAAACAAAACGAGAGAATATTTTGATCGAACAAACAAAAAAAACAAGAAGAAAGTATCTGTTGTTTATTTATCTTGTGTGTGTATGTGTGGGGCAAACAGCTGTTGGTGCAACAAAAGCCACAGCGGCGACGATTATCTTAAGTGTTGAATAAATTTTGCCAGCGCCAGCGCTGCCGCCAACGACAACGACAGCAGCAGTACAATCCCCTCCAAGAGGGGCAAATTTGTTGTTTCTGGATCCCCTCCTCCCTGGCAAACCCGCAACTCTCGCAGGTGAGTTCATTTCATTCTCATTGGCATTGCTATTTCGCTGGCGATTTTGTTTGTTAGCTTGAAAAAAATGTTGAAATTTGTTTTCTTACTTTGCTTTTGCCTTTGCAAACTCTTGTCTTGGGTGTAGACTTTATATGACGACGTAGGCTGATAAGTGATAAGAGCAATGAATGACATCCATGTTTCGAATTTGAGTTCAACGGTAGCCCCTCGCTCGAGCTTGGGGAACCTCATCTCTGAAGGTCTGAATGCACAACAGTCTCGGGGGGAAGTCAATGGATTGATGGCTTTATAATTTATGCAACAGGTAACTGCAAAACAAAGTTTGAAGCACTACCTCATCCGATTCGACCCCCCTCGTGTAGGTTCCTTGCTTAAATTATATAAAGTGCAGTGGGGAAATCTCATAACGGACAGACTCAAACTCTTTCCTTGGCAATTGGCTAGCCCCCACGGGGAGGTGGGGCTAAGGCCCTCATCCTCGTGACTTAGCTGCCTGTCTCCTGACTACCACCAGCCGGGAGGGGCTGAGAATGGAGTGGAGTTTAATCACGACAAGCATGTAACATTAATGCACCAATAAAAATCAGAGTAGAAGCAGCAACAAGAATTCGCTTGTGGGAAAAATCAATAAAAACGCACGCGACCAGCGGCCCCTGAGCTTCTCCCCCACCCACCCCACTGTCAAAAGGAGTCCTCCGGGGAAACTGTAAACTCCTTCAGCAGTTCCAACTTGGTTTTAATTAAATGAACGGCAGGAGAGGGATAAGTAGAAGAGAGGCTTCATCACCAACAAACGAGTCCTGATCGAGTGCTGTCGGAGTCCCTACCCATTGGTGTTCCCCTTCGGAGTGCACCCGTTCTGTCCGGCGAGAGGAGTCATTGCCATCAAGTGAAAAAGGGAAATCAGTAACAAAATTTTTGCTATATTTTCGCATGGGACTTCAACCTCGGGCTGTCAACAAAAACAATGCGTGAGTGCGACAGAGACAGCGCTAGAGATAGGAAGGACCCGCGCAGCCGCAGACGCAAGTATCCCACTCTCTCGGACATCTCTCTGCTCTCGCGTTTGTTTCGGCCAAATTTGGATGCGAATTTTCCATCTGCTGCTCCTGTTCCATTGTTAATGCTGCATTTTTGGCAACTCAACGAATTGTGTCGCTTGTATGTATATCTGCGTATTGCACTGTACCTATCCTAACACTGCCCCTGCCCCTGCCCCAGCCAATGCCCCTGGCCCCCTTTCCATTGAAAATGCATCAAGCAAATAATAAATAAATGCGTTTTTCGGTCTTGCAGCAGAAATAAAGAGTCAAATGAAAACTGACATGGAAAACGAGTTTTTTCATTTCAGAGAACAGAAAGCTGCACTGGCAATTGGTGGTTTCTCTAGCTGGGAGAAGGGGGCATGTGGCAGGGGTGTGACATAAGTGTATGTTCGTTCAATTTAATTGCAATTGTCAGCTTGAACTTTGCATTGATCCAATTTTCCATTTCCAGTGAAATTTTGATGCTTGGGTAAAAGAAGGAGGATCTAAGCTCCACTTGACACTGTCAGGGCACCGCTCCACTTCTTTGGCTCTGCGCCTGTTGCTATCATCAAACGTTTCACCGTATTCCATCTCCAATCGCCTACTGCAAGTGGGTCACAAAGAAATCATATTCTAGGCCATCATCTACAGCGGATGCGTTTATCATATCCAAAGAGAGAGAGAGTGACAGAGAGGGGCTTGGGGAAACCAGGAAAAGTGAAATGGAAAAGCATTTCCGTATCCAATCTGATGTCCCATTGTTCTCTTGCCTCACCTGCACCTCCAGATTGGGAAACGTCTGTGGGTTTGTCTGCGTCGCTCTTTTAATGCCCTCGCATCGCCCATCGACACACCGACCACAAGCAATTTCAATTAGTCTGTAATTTTGTCTATATTACCCAATGCCAAATATGTCGTTTTTCCCTTCCCTGCTATTATGTATGTATATCTCAGCGTGTACACGAAGTTTTTCACTGTTTATCGCATGTTGTTCCTCCTATCCCCCATTCCCATCAGCTATCCCTCCTAGACCCCCCGACCATGGCTGTTTCTGTCTGAAGTGCATCGAACCCCCATGGCAGTCATCCGGGGAATTAAGTGAAAAGCATTTAATCGTTCTCATGTTTCGATGAAAACTGCCGTCAGACGAGGAAGATATGGAGGAAGAGGTGGATGTGAATGGGAGCTACAACGAGTTGCCGCAAATTGCTCATGCTAATTGTGCCAATGGGACCAGCTACGTGCACTTTTTCCCCATTCAAAAAATAAAACCCTTTCCCCTTTTATTTTCTCACACTCAAGAGCGAGAGAGACGGCAGAGATGGCAAACGGCGAACAGGTACCACATCATCTTCAGGGATGCCAGAGCATCCTTCAATAATAATTAGGATTCACAGAATAATCAATACCGCCCTATCGACCCATTGCACATCCACACCCCCTACCCCACACGGTCCCAGCTGAGTTTGTCTTCATCTCTCATGGTCATGCAATGGGAGCCCATTCTCCTCCTCTCACTCTCACTTACTGGCATATCGCCCCATCCCTGTTTGGGAAAATCTTCAATACATTTTTCATTGCCAGAGCTGTGTGTGTTATCGGAAGCCTTCTGTGTGGCAGAAAAGGAATTCCTAGCCTTGTGCCTCCGTCGAGTCCACATTACATAACACAGGCATATGTATACTCGTACACATTTATGTATTCGTAATTATGTTAATTGCGATGTCGGTGCCAAGAGCTTGCACAAAGCATCTCACGTGTGACATCGATCTGCACATGCCTGACCGAAATGATTAAGGATGGTCTGTTCTTAATTTGGAATTCATTCATTCGCTTCCGACTGTTCCGTACTTTCACATGGATCTATCTAGCCTCGAATAGCAATTCAGTTGATTCAGGAACATTTTGCTTCCATCGGGTTTGAAATGACGTCAATACCCCCCACCGCCACAATGACGGTGAAAGGCATGTATACTCGTAAAATGCAAATACAATACGTAGCGCAAATCAAGGGTAATAGGATCGACGACTGACTAAAAACCAGATGTACGAAGTAAGGCGCCAGCTTCCTCATGAGAGAACCTGTAATGACGGCAAGGTTCTACGCCGCTGCCTGGGGAGCAACGCCTGCGACGTAACCAACACGTTCTGGCTTATTAATGATTAAGTAATACTCGAACAGCCTGACGTTGTTGTCATCCGATTCGCATAGCGTGAAATGTTCCAAAGGCAAAGCGAAATCAAGCTGCGACCGGTTCATTCCAATAAAACGTTAACGAACATAAATTACTTATTGCATTAGTTCATTAACTGAAGGGAACCGACTACAGAATAGGCCTGGGAGTGTTTGCTAATTGTTTTGCCGTCCTATCCGATAACTAGTGAATCTGGTATCTTGGAAAACTCAAAAATAAATTCCAATCGTAAATCTGTTTATAATTGTTGTCCAAACTAGTTTGCTTCAAACTGCTGCCCTTGAGTGCGATTGTAATACCCTTGAAAGCGTCTCAGTTACGCCTAAATCTGCCTCCAAAGCTCTGTTCTATAGCTGTAATTTGATTTACGGCCATCGTTCGGCGCCCTTTGTTTTGATACATATTCATTGGGTGCACAGGTCAGCTTCAGCCAAAGTGCAGTGCATAACCGGTTCGTTAAAGGTTACAGCTGAGCTGTGGGGCATAGTTTTTAGAGTAACCTGCACACACCATCCAACTAGTCATCTGTCCGTTTGTTCTGGGATTTGGGGAAACGAAAACCTTGATAGAACTTCAATGCCAAACCTCTGGAAAGATCGGAAATCAGCTCAAAGAACGTGGGACATCCAATTACTCCCACGCCGTAAATAAAAATTACCTTGATTTTTGGCACATGGTTCTATGACCCTGCCCTGCAATATGATGTCTTTCCGAGAAATTTTGGCAGCTATCGGGGGTAATCAAATGCACTAATCGCCGACTCTCCTTACGTGACAGCACTCTTACGGCTAAATATCATGAAAAAGAATCAGAAACAGAAAACAGCATAAATGGGCCTGGTCAGGCAATTACCGGCCATAACAACGATTACTGTTGATGGCCATTATAGCGTAAGGGTGGGAGGGGTCTGGGCGTGTAGGCAGAAATGTGTGCCAAGTAAATATAAGCTACTAAACGTACAGTAAAATATAAACGCTGTAATAACAAATATAGTGACGGGGAAGGCGGAAACACATTCCACGTTGTGTTTCAAGGGTACCTCCAATCGAGCATTGGACATCGCGAATACAACTGTCCGAAATGACTCAGCGCGAGTGGGGACGGAGAGGCACCCTCATGTATGTGGAAGTGCAAATCATGCTAATTGAAGAGCGTTTATGGCATAATTACGGAGCAGACATTGCGGCGGCTGCTGTCACTCATTAAATAACCGTTTAGTCAACACGAGCCTCCAATAAAACGAAAGTAAAAAACGTTTAAAGCAGGGAAAACATTCATAAAGAATAACCAGCGTCCACCAATCTACTCCCGATATGGGGAGAAAGTGACGTTTTGGTAAATCGATTCGCGGGGGGCATTCGGCTGGAATTGCGGTCAACTCAATCTACTTCAACGAACGGAACCAAATGATGGAGACCCACAGATCAGTGGGATCAAATATACTGAGACAAATTTTGTGGCAACCCAAACCACGGCTATAGCTTAGCTCGTTTGTTGTTTTGTTCTGTGTACGAGTATTTTCCTATTGCATTTGAGGCGGCACCCCTTCTATACGATTTTCAAATGAAAACACGTAGTTGCTACGGGGAAATATTGCACTCAATAATGATTCAGACGGTCGTGGCTTTTACTCGTACTAGTAGGATATTAATTCCAGCAATCAATCCCGCAATGTTTTACAATGTTTAAAGCTGTGGGTTATGGCTCTTTCCCAAAGGGCATTGACAAATCGATTTGATTTTGCTTTGTTTGCAAACTACTCGTCATTTCCTCCCTGCCCCCTTGGAATACTATCAACGCTGATACTTTCGGCACCCCCAAATAGAGAGTTTAATCTCTCCCACACACACACACACGCACACCCGTCAAAAGAGAGAGAACAACACAACGCTGGGGGCAAAGCGTTTTAAATGAAAATGGGAACGCAAGTGCGAGTGCGAAGGCGATTGACAGTTCGAAAAGCGTTAAAAGTTCAAGCGCCCCGATGCGACGACTCGACAAACCCAAGCAGCCATAAAACAATGATTTCTATGGCATTACGCCACACTCAAAAGTATACGTACATCTTCATGTCGTTGGACTTTGTCTTTGATGCAACAAAAGTGCAGTACACTCTTGAATTCTGCCAAGGTTCGTAGCGGAGAAAGGATATCTATCCCAAAAATAGATTGAGAGGCGATCGTACGGTATACACACATACATATGTACGTACGTATGACGGATTTGGAAGAAAAATTATTGACACGTGGCAAGACGTGGCTCGTGAAATGAGTGGCCAGAAAATAACCAACAAGTGCAAAGACCCTTGACAATGTGCAGACTCCGACCTTTGTCTAACGAAGCTTGCCACATGTGGGGGCCACTGACTCTTGTTTTAGCCGGAATTTTAGCTCCAATTTGCACAGCTGCTTCGTAATTTCAGTTTTCGTTCTGCTTCAATCGCTTGATACGAGTATCAGAGTACCCTATGGAATCGCTGACAAAATGGGCTCAAATAGGATAAGTGAAGCCGCAACAGCGTATGTATGCGCAAAAGTGATGTCTTGTGCCTGTTTAATTACCGTGGAATAAATGGGAGATTAAAACGGTTTCGATGGTCTCCTTGTCAGCATAGCCAGAGCCCATCAATCAGTATGAGCCTTGCAAATGACTTGCCTGAGAAAGAATCACATCACACTCACAATGACAAATAAATGTTGGCTGCCGCCACAGAACGATTAAAAGCCATTAATTAAATGTAAACAATGGCCAAACAGAGCCCTCACGGAATCAACAATAAATGCCAAATGCATGTATGCGGATTCAAAAATATCTTTGATTAATATTTGACTTTTTTGCGCTTCGTAGCGTTTAACAGAGGCGAGTGATAAGAGCTCCTCTGATAAGAGTCAATAATGTCCATCGGTATGGAACAATTAACTGCTTGGCTGTTCAGTGGCATAAGTCGAACTTCATAAAATATTTACTATACAAATTATGGCCCAACATATGTATACATAGGAGTACTATCCGCGCCAGTCGCATATCAAATAAAGTTGGAGTATTATTTCATTGATAGCAGATTTTCTTTGATATAAAAAAGCTTTGCTAAGTGGCTAATCGTACGCCTGGACGATTGACCTCGCCGACGCCTTGAAACATGACTCACATTTCGACGGAGACGCCCACACATTGCCTGACTAGAGACACAGACGTGGATTAAGCAACCAACCACCAAGAGTGCGTCTCTTTCCGTTTCACCGTTTTAGGGCGAAGTCTCTGCAGGAGACGCATTTGCATGCTAAACAAAACTGTAAATGTTCTTGTGAGTCATAGTCATGTTGGTCTTCGGATCCCAATTCCCCCTCCCCTGGCAGAGTGGTGGAGTCAGTGTTAATTAAGGCGACAAACGCCTGGAAGGAGACTGGGAAACGGGGGACCTCCACCTCCCCTTCGGCTCCTATTCCTGGGTCTTGTTTGTGTTGGATTTTTCAATGTTTCTCATTGTTTTTCCAAGGCAGCTGCGTGTTGAAGTGGAAAGCGATCGGCGGCCCCCTCTTACCAAATCGCCGCTTGGGTCTAGCTAGAGATAATATTTATTTTATTTGCTCTCCGCTGTTCAGTCTTCCATTGCAACGCCATGTAATTAAGAGTGCGCACCAAGAAGGTTAATTAGTATTGATTGTGTGAGTGTCGTTACCAGACAACGACGCAAATGTCCCATAGTCATTCCTGGGATCAGTTTTTCCCAAATTCAGTGTCTGGCTTTAAAGTGCCTCCCTATCCTACCCCATGCATAAGAGCATGTTTCCACGAGCATTGAGAAACGGTCGCTCATACAAGTAGTGCAAATTATTCTCTTTACCGGATGGTAAGCCAACCGGATACGAGTGACTAAGGGCGAATAAGGAAGTGTGCAAGCGTCCACTCCACCTGAGTGAACCAGTCTCCCCACAAGCAAAATATAATGCGAAAGATTAGAGCCGCAGCTAAACTTACTCACCTTGCTTATTAAATGTGGAGGGCGGGGGACAAGATAAGAGCACAAATGGAGAAATAGAGAATCGGCGATTCGGAATATGAGAAGCAAAACAGAATCAGATATTTTTCCGCATTAGAAACGCGAATGCTCAAAGTAAAAATGTGAATTAATTATGATGTTCAGTGCAAAATCACGAAGTGGACACAATGTGGCGATACGGACAGGCGAGGGTTAGCAGACAGAGAAAGAAAAGCATGCACAGAGACATGTGCGTGGAATTTAATATTGATAAAAATGTCACTCCATAATATATAAATCTCCTTTGCTAATTAGATACGAAATGCGAATTGTGGGATGTCGCTGGGGATGTGGATTGAGGCTTCCTTTTGACGATGATTAAATACTTCGACGTACTATAAAAATCAATATTTTTTAGCAATCTCAGCACGCAAATTGCCAGCACGTTGCCATGGCAGCACCAGTTTCTGTACGCAGGAGGGGGGTGTCGCGCTGAGACGGGTAGGGAGGTATGGCTTATAAGGGGACTGCTCACTAATTACCAAGTGCTAAACATTCTGACGTGTGTCCGCCCCCACTTCTAAATCCGGCGATAATGTATCTATGTGTCTAGTGGCTTGTATCTGTAGTTATTGGTCTGCTGGAAGCGCGTTGGTATCACGTTTTTGCGGCAAGTGCAAACCGCACAATTAGCCAAATGCTGAACGGGAAACAAAGCGTGGGTGGGTAGTGAGAAATAGGGATATTTCTATAGTATATAAAGATACGCAGGATTGTAAGCTATCGGAATGCTCGTTCTCTCTCTGTTCTGTTCTGTAAAATAATATTTAGAGGTAACCCCAACCAGTAGATACCTCCGCCCACCAAATATTCAATTGCATTCCGAAAATAGTCCCAAATGGACAGACATCTTATAAACTTTTCAAATCGATTTACTAATTGGTATTGGAATAAATTTAAATTAAATATCAAATTTTCCTAAAATTTACTTTTAATGACTGATTTTTTTGCCGTTTCCGTTTCTTTTGTTTGCTGCTTGCGAAACCAAAAACAATTGGAACAGCCGAAGGAATTTGGAAATTTTTGTGAGTGTTGTGGCAAGCGAGAATTGGCCTTCAGCTGTGTAATTGGCAGCTGGAAGCTCGATAGGAGACACAACACAGTGTTAGGAATTGCTGTTAGGGGGCGTTGTTGTCACATGTCAGACATTTGGCAGCAGTTTGGTTACATATCCTTCAGACAATACCGTTCGACTCGAGTGACATTCTACATTCGGGGGCATTTGGCCATTCGCATTACGCACCTAGCCCAATCAATCACTCCGATTTGTCATGAATATTCATACTATCTCATGCATTGAATCCCAGATAAGGGTACAGGCTCAATAATTACTTAAAATTTGTGTTGCCTGTCCCCTGCCTTCGGAATACAGTAACAGTAAACAAAATATTACAACTTGGCTTCCGTTCTTTTGGGCTTACGTGGGCGGGAGTCACTCGCGTGGCAGGCCACGTGTGTTATCATTGTCTTCTATGTCTCTGGGTTCGCGAGGAGGGGGATGGCCAAATGGGGCAACAATAGAATAAGAACGACAAATACCTTATAAATAGACAATGGAAAACAGACAGCAAATACACGACGGCTCGTAACTGTTGACTTTTTCTGAACGTCGAATCGATATCTTAAGAATGTTTAAGAGCTCCCGTAACTTTCTTTTAATTAAACCGAATTGTCGCTGGATGGAAAAAATTGGCACACGATACAGATTCAACCGATAGATACACCCTGCCTCTATCTGGACAGAAACCTTAACCCAAAGCGCAGCATCAGCTTCGTTCGGTTCATAGACAGATTCAGGTCACTTGCTTACTATCCGCAGAATGAAAACTGCTCTGGGAACGAAGGCGAGACCATTAGCAGCCGTTTTCACTCTTGGCACTGAAAACTGTCGAGTGCGCTGATTTCTGCTATCTCGATGACGCTTCCCCATCCACGTAGAAGCTCAGGATGGGACTGAGATGCTCGCAGACCCAGGCCTGCCTCTGATTGTGATAGAGTAGGGCTTGGCAACAACTACAAAGGCTATATAACTTGGTTATTTTTGTTACCACTGCTGTTGCTGGAGCTATTATTGTTGTCGTTGGCGTTCTTGCTGTAGCTGTTGACAATTCTCAAAATCAATACCAGCGCGGGTAAAGGGGTTGGGTTGCGCCAAAATTGCCACTGTTCGGGCCTTCTATTCTGCCAAGACTACGTTTTCACATCTCTTCTGTCCCCGTCCCCCGTCGTTGTTTTTGGTGAGGCACAGTGGGCATGCAACGTAATTGGCATTATATCGATATCTCTTGAAGTTTATTCAAGTGTGGAAACCCATAACAATTCATAGCATTCTCATTCGCCCAGGGCACACCCTTTCCGAACGGTGGGTGGTTCTAAGGCACTTTTACACCCCTCCCTTCAGTGAACCAACATTAACCAACATGAGAAGAAGCTGCAATCTCTTGAAAGGCTTTCTCTCCGTCATTCAGGTGTCAGCAGGAGAATGCGCTGCAAGGCAACTGTCAATGCCACTTACTCTCCATCGTCCCGGCACTCGCAGGAGGAGAGCGGGTTGACATATATACATATATGGATATGGATAGAAATGTTGAGTCTAGAATAGAATTACCTTGAATTTTACTAATGCACAGAGTGAAATGTCTTTTGCTTTCTGTCTTCTGACGAAATCAAAAAAGAGCTATGATCCTCCGCTCTGAGGGCCTAGAAATAAATATAGAAATTTTGTATGAATAAAAATGTATAAAATATTGTGTTAATATAACGTGCAAAGTAATATATAATATAGTGCAGAGTCTCGTGTAGAATTACCTTGCATTTTACTAATGCTCAATTGAAAAAACAAGCAGTGCTATGCACCTCCGTCCTTAAACCTCTCTCAGTGAAGTTCCCGTTCTCTTTCCGCTGTCTGTAGTTGCTGTTTATATTTTATTTCGTTTTTCACTCGCGCTCTAACACTCACTTTTGCCCATATTGCCTCAATTCATTCCCTCCTGCACTTGCACTCACTTGATCGCAGCATTTCACTCACTTTTATCACTCACTAGCGCTCAATGTCTTAGGCCGCTCCTTTCTTTAGTCCTTGCGGTACATTCAACTGTTTTTCTTCACATGCGCTTTCATTTTTCACTTTTCACTCACTTTTTTCACTCACTAGCGCTCAATTTCTTATTCCGCTCCTTTCTTTAGTCCTTGCGGTACATTCAACTGTTTTCATTCACTTGCGCTTTCACTTTTCACTTTCACTTTTTGCGATCCTTCTTTCCCTCCTTGCCGTCCGATGACCATCCTGTACGACAACAGCATGTAAAATTCTTTCCCTCCTTGCCGTCCGATGACCATCCTGTACGACAACAGCATTTTAAATCCTTTCCCTCCTTGCCGTCCGATGACCATCCTGTACGACAACAGCTTTTGGAATCCTTTCCTCCTTGCACACCTGTACGACAACAGTATAATATGATTTCGCTATTCCTTTCTTTCTGCGTTTCCACTGTGGAAGCAGCGCGACAGCTGCGGCGACGCAATAGAATTTTGGCAGGCAGGTTTTTTTTTTCACTTTTCACTATCACTTGCGCTGTATTTCTTATTCCGCTCCTTTATTTAGTCCTTGCGGTGCATTTAACTGTTTTGTTTTCACAAGCGCTTTCACTTTTCACTTTCACTCACTTTTTGCAATCCTCCTTGCACTCCTTGCCGTCCGATGACCATCCTGTACGACAACAGCTTTAAATGATTCCGTTATTTCTTCTTGCGTTTCCATGCTCACTCCAAATGAGCGCTGGAAGCAGCGCGACAGCTGCGACGCAAAAGACTTTTTGCAGGTCGGCGTTTTTTCCCATTTTTCACTGCTACTAGAACACTGAATTTTATCATTTTCACTAATGCTGCGATCATTACTTAACTTTTAGCTAGACCTTTGGCTCTCCGCACACACTTTTCAGGCTTTTCACAATAAAAAAATTTATAATTTTCAGGCTTTTTGCACGCGACTTCTGCGGGTTTTTAGTAATATATTGCGAGTTATTTCCGATTTTTAAGTATTTTTAGGTCCGCGACGCAACGAACGGGCTGCTGCGCTTAGATTTGGGACAAAACTTTATGCTAAGCTCGCTGCGATGAGATCATCACGACGCTTGTCTTTGATTCTCTCTCCTCCTTATGCAGGTAGCGGAGTGCAATGGTCTCATGCGTTGTCTGAAAGTAAAGAGAGCAATTATGAGAGTGGCTTTACTATTGCAATGTGTGTGTGTGTGTTTGAGTTGTTGTTGCTGATTTTGCGACCTATTTATGAATCGGAGGTGCTGCTGCGGTCAGATTTCGGACAAGGTTTTGGTTTTAACTTACAACTTTTAAGCAAAGGGCGCTGCGATGAGATCATCGCGACGTCTTATCTATGATTCTCTGCTCCCACTGCAGGCAGCGCGAGAGCATTGACCGCATGCGTGGGCGAAGAGTAAAGAGAGCAATTATGAGAGTGGCTTTACTATTGCAATGTGTGTGTGTGTGTGTGTGTGTTTGTGTTGTTGCTGATTTTGCGACCTATTTATGAATCGGTGGTGCTGCTACGAAAGAAAGACGCTTTCAATAATCGTTTCTTATTGCCACAGGACGAGGCAGAAGGCAGGAGGCAACACTCAACTGTTTGAAAGAAGAACCCATTTAAAAATTTCTATAATTGTTTTATAAAAGTTTTGGGCAACCAGAAAAAAAACAGAAATATTACTAGAAAAATATCTGAAAACATTTAAAATATATTCTAAAATTCTAGAAAATATAAAAAAATACCAGATAATATTAGAAAACTCTTAGGGCTCCTCCTGCCTTCCCCAAGGACAGCAAATACATATATGGATATGGATAGAAATGTTGAGTCTAGAATAGAATTACCTTGAATTTTACTAATGCACAGAGTGAAATGTCTTTTGCTTTCTGTCTTCTGACGAAATCAAAAAAGAGCTATGATCCTCCGCTCTGAGGGCCTAGAAATAAATATAGAAATTTTGTATGAATAAAAATGTATAAAATATTGTGTTAATATAACGTGCAAAGTAATATATAATATAGTGCAGAGTCTCGTGTAGAATTACCTTGCATTTTACTAATGCTCAATTGAAAAAACAAGCAGTGCTATGCACCTCCGTCCTTAAACCTCTCTCAGTGAAGTTCCCGTTCTCTTTCCGCTGTCTGTAGTTGCTGTTTATATTTTATTTCGTTTTTCACTCGCGCTCTAACACTCACTTTTGCCCATATTGCCTCAATTCATTCCCTCCTGCACTTGCACTCACTTGATCGCAGCATTTCACTCACTTTTATCACTCACTAGCGCTCAATGTCTTAGGCCGCTCCTTTCTTTAGTCCTTGCGGTACATTCAACTGTTTTTCTTCACATGCGCTTTCATTTTTCACTTTTCACTCACTTTTTTCACTCACTAGCGCTCAATTTCTTATTCCGCTCCTTTCTTTAGTCCTTGCGGTACATTCAACTGTTTTCATTCACTTGCGCTTTCACTTTTCACTTTCACTTTTTGCGATCCTTCTTTCCCTCCTTGCCGTCCGATGACCATCCTGTACGACAACAGCATGTAAAATTCTTTCCCTCCTTGCCGTCCGATGACCATCCTGTACGACAACAGCATTTTAAATCCTTTCCCTCCTTGCCGTCCGATGACCATCCTGTACGACAACAGCTATGAATCCCCCCTGCCCCAAAAAAACAAAAAAGATTTCGCTATTCCTTTCTTTCTGCGTTTCCACTGTGGAAGCAGCGCGACAGCTGCGGCGACGCAATAGAATTTTGGCAGGCAGGTTTTTTTTTTCACTTTTCACTATCACTTGCGCTGTATTTCTTATTCCGCTCCTTTATTTAGTCCTTGCGGTGCATTTAACTGTTTTGTTTTCACAAGCGCTTTCACTTTTCACTTTCACTCACTTTTTGCAATCCTCCTTGCACTCCTTGCCGTCCGATGACCATCCTGTACGACAACAGCTTTAAATGATTCCGTTATTTCTTCTTGCGTTTCCATGCTCACTCCAAATGAGCGCTGGAAGCAGCGCGACAGCTGCGACGCAAAAGACTTTTTGCAGGTCGGCGTTTTTTCCCATTTTTCACTGCTACTAGAACACTGAATTTTATCATTTTCACTAATGCTGCGATCATTACTTAACTTTTAGCTAGACCTTTGGCTCTCCGCACACACTTTTCAGGCTTTTCACAATAAAAAAATTTATAATTTTCAGGCTTTTTGGGGCTTTTTTTTGTACTTTGCAATTAGCAATACATCTTGCACGCGACTTCTGCGGGTTTTTAGTAATATATTGCGAGTTATTTCCGATTTTTAAGTATTTTTAGGTCCGCGACGCAACGAACGGGCTGCTGCGCTTAGATTTGGGACAAAACTTTATGCTAAGCTCGCTGCGATGAGATCATCACGACGCTTGTCTTTGATTCTCTCTCCTCCTTATGCAGGTAGCGGAGTGCAATGGTCTCATGCGTTGTCTGAAAGTAAAGAGAGCAATTATGAGAATGGCTTTACTATTGCAATGTGTGTGTGTGTGTTTGAGTTGTTGTTGCTGATTTTGCGACCTATTTATGAATCGGAGGTGCTGCTGCGGTCAGATTTCGGACAAGGTTTTGGTTTTAACTTACAACTTTTAAGCAAAGGGCGCTGCGATGAGATCATCGCGACGTCTTATCTATGATTCTCTGCTCCCACTGCAGGCAGCGCGAGAGCATTGACCGCATGCGTGGGCGAAGAGTAAAGAGAGCAATTATGAGAGTGGCTTTACTATTGCAATGTGTGTGTGTGTGTGTGTGTGTGTTTGTGTTGTTGCTGATTTTGCGACCTATTTATGAATCGGTGGTGCTGCTACGAAAGAAAGACGCTTTCAATAATCGTTTCTTATTGCCACAGGACGAGGCAGAAGGCAGGAGGCAACACTCAACTGTTTGAAAGAAGAACCCATTTAAAAATTTCTATAATTGTTTTATAAAAGTTTTGGGCAACCAGAAAAAAAACAGAAATATTACTAGAAAAATATCTGAAAACATTTAAAATATATTCTAAAATTCTAGAAAATATAAAAAAATACCAGATAATATTAGAAAACTCTTAGGGCTCCTCCTGCCTTCCCCAAGGACAGCAAATACATACATACATACATATGTACATATGTATATACAGGATCTCAAAGAAAGCGCTTTGGAATGTTCCTCCCCCTCCACCCCTATTACAGTTACAGCACATGGCACATGACTGTTCCGCTGGAAGAAGGCGAAATCGAAATCAAACCTGAAACTAAACAGCCGACAATGAGCGTACAGTTGCCTAAACAATTAAACTAGCATCCGAATAGCGGAAATCACGTTTTTACGCTGCTGACGTTCGAATGAATGAAAATGAATGTAAAGGAAGGAAGAGGAATGAAACGATCCGATCCAAGTCTGCTTCCGACCTGCAGCAAAAAGGGAGGTGCATGAGGGAGGGTCATCCCTGGGTGGACAGCACACGGAAGGTGTGTTAAGATTTATGACGTTGTTGGCGCTAGCTTACACATGTTGTGCCTCTTGTTCCCATGCCCCTTTCTCCCCACCCAACCCTGCACACTAGCACAGTTCCGTTCCTCAATGGAACGACAAATACACAAAAAAAAAAAAACAGTCCCCAGTTATGTGCATGTATTTGTTGTTCCCCCGCCTGCCCCCAACTGAAACGTGACCACAGGGAACCCAGTGGCTTTCTAGCGGCTTCCCAGTAGCTGGTGTTAATATTTTTGTGTTCATGTGCCCTCGCGAGGTCTACCTGGACTCTGGGATTTCTCTAGCCAGATGCATTTTATTGTACGGGCAATCACGTCTTCCTCACCCAAACGTTTTCCAAGCTTTGCATAACTTTTATTTTTCTGTCTTTGAGTCATAAAGCAAAGGGTATCATAAATATTTATGCACCGCATTACGGCGACAGTTGGAACGAGTCTTATTTTGGCCACGGTCCAGTCAAACACAAACACAAATAAAAGTAAAATGTAACAAAAAGTTCAAGTGCATGGCATATAGTTTCAAGGCCATCATATTCAGGTTCAGAAATCAAGGCTAGGCGTCGTTCTTACAAGAGATCTAAGCATAATTTTGTTCAACTGATCCATCGACAGCTCCTGTATTTTCAACAACATAGGGCATCCATCCTTATCGCCATTAGCAGTCCAAAATATTGCACACTAAAGCTTTATCACCATCGCTTGCTGTAGAGCGGAAACTGTTTCGGCCTTTTAAGGCTGCCTCTCAAAAATGCCTAAACTTACATGAAAATGCTGCAAGACAATTTGCAGCAAAGTGACATTAAAATAATTTTTCCAAATAAAAATAAAAACGAACATTATAACACTGGGAAGTCGGCCAAGAGCCAACATTTTCCCCCAAACACAACGCCCAACCACAAACAGTTGGCAAAACAATTGAAGGCAAGAGTAAAAGATGGGGAATGCTTCTATGGATCTCGTCTCACGCAATTGGATGTGAAATCTTTTCGGTGGCAGCTGGTAGGAAATTAGAAACCCACCTATTTTTGGGCGGCTCCTTATGAAGGGCCCCACTCCACTCTAGCATGGAGAATATGAAGCAATAAGTTTAATCGATGGAATGGAGCTGCTTTGAACTTTTCTGGTCATGATTTATGCCCATCAGACCAACCAGAACTCGCCAACAAGTTTCAACTTCCGCAGTTGCAGAAACTTGGGAGGAAGGTTCAACAGCACCATTGAAACTTTCAGCTTGTTTGTTCTCCCTCCTCGTTTGGACAGCGGCAGAGGCACAGTCAGAGCACTTTCAATTTGTGTCAAAATAAAACAAACAAGTATGCATAGACTTCATCTTGCAATCGAGTTCCTAGTACCCTCTTTCGACTTGTTGGTAAGAGGGCATTCATCCAGTTCATATTTCATCTATCGTGGGCCATAAGATGGGTTTTGTATGCAATGAGTATGGAGAAATGCTCCAGCATATCAAGTTTACAGCAAAACACAACAAAAAAATAGGTCAAGGCTTTGGATCTAGCCGTTTGCCTTTTCTGCATTCTGTTCAAAGCTAGATTTCGCTCTATCACGGCAAAAGGGAACCAAAAAAACCGGTTACAATCTTGGTTGTGGACGGAGAGGGAGCGATGGTTGTAAGAAAGTGTTTTAACTTAGGAGGAGGCGAATGGATCCCTAAAGGGTTCTCATGGTAGTTGTTAGCTTCAGACTCACAAAGCGAGAAGGAGAGAGATGGAAATATGTCACTAAAAGCTACGAAGGGCTGAAAGCTCATATTTTTACTTTATTATTATTATTATTATTTTAGCTTTATTATTATTAAGATCTAACCCTTAATTCTACAGCCATGTTTTGGTGGCTGTTTCTGTCTATGCTGTCCCAGTCTGTGGATCTTATGGTTTTTGTTTCTGCCTTTATTTTTTCTCCTAATAAGACAGTAAAGACGTCGAGAGACAAGTCTCTTTTTAAAAAACGAGAAACGTAATCTTCTTAAAATTCATTATGTACGTAACAATCTTTAACATTCCGCGGCAAGATAAAATCAAAGTGCCAAATTTGCGAGTAATTAAGGATAAGAAGTCACCAAATTCGGCATTCTATGAGAGCCGGCGATTCTAAATATGAAAGGGACTGTATGATCTGTGAGTATGGGGGGTGGGACAGCTTGTGCATGTCTGCCGAGCATCTGTTGGTGTATGTTTTAAATTGCTTTCCCTTCAACAGATGTTGCAATATGCAAACAAGCGTAACAGCAGCCACTGGCAGGAACGAGTCCACTCCCTTGCCAAGTGGGAGCACCTTGGTCGCAGGAAGAGAACGGGTCTGCACTCTGACAAAGTAAATAATTTCTATGCATTTTGCAGACAACGTAACGTGTCTGCTGCCGTCAAAATTTCACATATTTCCCTCACGGAATCACTAGAACAGAAGGCCAGGTTTTATCAAAAGGCTGCGTAAATAATATACTCGAAAGATTCCTATAAGTTCAGCTCACCATTTCCTCGACAAAGCGCGCTCTCTTTATTCTGCCAATTACAAGATTACGACGGACGACGATTTCAAGGTTACGACGGACGACGGACGAAGGACGGGCTTGGGATTTGCGATATTAATTTCACACACTTTTCCAATTTTTTTACATTCCTTTCTTTGATCTCCATTTTCACATTTTTCAGATTTTACATTGTCATTGCATTTAGGTTGAGAATTTCCAATAAGAGTACACATTCACAAATATTTATAAGGTAAGCCGTCAGACAATACACCTCAAACGATACTTGCACAATTTTCCCAAGTGCGTCGGCACACACTTAACGGGATCACAACTCAAAACATTTGGAATGACTCACCCCACTTTCAATTGTGACACTTGAAAGAGAGCGAATTGTGCGAGGGAGGCTCAGTACTTGCTCTCTCCTTTAATGCGCATGTAGGAGAGCGACAGCTTCGCGCCTTTTTTGCATTTTTCTGCTGCTTTTTTTTTGTTTTTTCTCAGATTTTCTTAGGTAAAACACTTTTAAGCCAGACTTTTTAGGATTTTTAATGCACTACACTTACACACACACGCGACAATATTTTCCAATTGATTTACACAGTTTTCCCGCCTTTCACGACCCGAAACCGTCAAAAGTTCGCGGAGCTGACTGT